TTGCAGAAGACCGTTTCAGAGAACGTGCACAAGACCTTTTCAGAGAACGTTACAGAGAACGTTACAGGGAACGTTACAAACCCACTACCAAGTCTTCCATAACTGTTACCTACTTTCTCTTATAAATAGAAACCACTTCATACTCTTCAGAATACACCTCTCTCATCCTCATCTTCTCTTCTCAGATCTTTTTTCTGTGTTCCTGGGTTAATTTACTCTTTTGAGAGTTTCTTGCTAGTTTCTAAGATCCTCAGATATTCCGAGAAGTTCCTGTTGTATCCTTAAGGACTTATCCGTGGTGTATTAATAATTTGATTGTTTGATATAATTGTTCGCGCAAAAATGTTCAATTAAAAATATAGAATATAAGATTACACATATAAATATTCAGCAAATAACAAAAATATTTCAAAATAGATAAAATTTATAAATTTAAATTACAATATATTATATATGAATAAAATTAATTGATAATTTCATCACCGTTAAAAGATAATTTGTATTTATATTTTAGCATTTATTTATTTTCAATAACAAGGCAAAGCATGGAAAAATACAAATTCACATGTTTAAAGACTCAACACAAAATATATGAATTTTAAAACAAATATTCGCCTCTTTTCTTTCCTCACTTATATGCAAAAATTTACTAAATTTATAAATATACATTTTTATCTGTTAAAATTTATAAATTATAAGATATTTATAAGATAAGACGTGTAGCACTATTTAAAAATTGTGAATAGAAAAAATAATTCATCAAACTAGTCAATAATGTATTCAAATATAAACCTAATTAACTAAATTCGAACGCAAGTTTGAAAAGTACATACAAATAAATTTACTTGACTTATTCAAAAAAACTATCCACCAACTTTCTTATGCAACAGTAATGCTAGTCAGTTAGAACAAAAAAAGTAGGTAGAATTCAGTTAGAATTGAACAAAATTTAAAACTAATTATTAGTAGTCAATATGCAACAAAATATCTAGTAAAAGAATTTATTGGTTACTCACATACTTTATTTTTTAGACTTTCACATTCCAACCAATAAAAGATTAAAGTATTTTATAAAATATAATTAAAATATTGAAATATTATTTAATCTATATTTAATTCTTCATTATGAGACTTGTAAGTTGATCATTAAATTTTGTTATTAGGTTATAAAAATGTATTTCTTCCTACTTATTATTAATATTATCTATTCATGTATGATGATATTTTTTTTTCTTAATTTTACATTAACTTAATTATTTGCTTCTTAAGAAACATGATTTTAAGAATTGTTTTGAATTTATAATATGGTAAAGTGTATTGAGACTTTCCTCATATTTATACACTTCCATTTTTGAACTTCAATTCCTCGTTCCATTGAGAGAAACACAAAGCTCGAGTCCAGTATTTTTAGAAAGTGGACCGAAATAGTTCAAGTCCAGTGGACCGAAATGTCGGAAAAGGCCTGTTTTTTATTTTTCATATATTCTATATTATTTGGGTAAGTAAGTATTTATTGGTTTAAATATATTTTTAATTTTTATAGAATAATTAAATTTTAATTTTATTTATTATAAAATTTAAAATTATAATTTTTATTGTTATTATTTTATGATATTATATAATAATTTTTTAAAAATTATGTTACAAAAATAATTTTTAATAATGTAACAAATACAAATATTTGTTGTTTTGTATTTTATGTTATTATATTATACATAATTCGATAAAAAAAATTTCTGAAACATGAAATATTTTGATTACTTTAGTGTGTATACTTATAATGTTATTTCTTTTCTGTTTTCATATAATATCTTATAGTTCACAAAAAATTAATTCAAAATCCTAATACTAAATATTTTAAATGATCAAAAGTAATTTCATTCTCTTTGTCTTTATTGTGTTTGTTCAACGCAAAACCATTAATATCTTTCTATGTTTATGTAATATCAGTTGTTAAAATGATTCGCTGTCATTTTCATTTTTGTCACTCAACGTTTCACTATGGATTGTTGCATCTCAGTCACCACCTATTCCATTTGCTACAGCACCATTCTTCAATCGAAGCATGATTCTACCTTTTCCTAAAATTTGGAATATCATTACGTTGCCAAAGTTTCCTATAAACTCCATTTATTCGTAAAAAAAAAAACCCATTATTTTCACACATATAATTAGTATCTAAATACCAAATGTTTTCATTTTCTAAAAAATTTTGGTTACCAAGAATAAACTTTATGGATTATTTGTCCAAATTTGCAATTTATTCCTTTTTTATCAAATTTTTTGCAGTAAAAGTAATTAAAATTTCTTTATAAAATTACTTGAATGTGTCTTGTTTGCTTGCTTTAAATAGGATTGTAGTTGTATAAATGGGTTTTAAAAGATCGAAAAATATATTAAGTTATGATATTAGTTTATTTTCTTATTTTTAATTTTTAATTTTTTTTTAGTTTTTCATTTTGTTTGATGCTTAATTTTTAAATTTATTTATAACACTTTTTGTACGAATAATATTTTTAAGATTATAAATTTAAATTATCTTTGATCAAATTTGTTTTGTTTCTCTTTACTTTTTTATTTTAATTTTCGTTTTTATCTTATCCTTCCACTCTCACATCATTTTCCTCATTATTTTCATGTTTTTCTAGTTTTCCACTACTCAATCATGTTATAATTCATTTTTATTATTGGTTCACGTATTAAAACTTGTTCTCTATAATTTAGATTTGATTTTTAACGATTTTAATCGATTATAATTCATTATAATCAATATTATTGACGTTATTTGATTAAATATCTTATTTATAATATAATTCAATTTCTAGGTTTAAGTGATTGTTTGATTTAGGAATTGAGTTGTATTTACTAATTTCAATTGGATTGTAATAATTTGGAACTATTGTGAACATATTTTTGTGATTGCAAAATAAATTCTTGAAATTAACCATAACCATAAAAATAAGTTTATGATTGGAAAATCAACACAATTTTTATAAAATTACTTCACTGTGCTTAATTGATTTCACTTCAATTTTTTATTCCATTTTGTCTTTACTTGCTATATTCTAGTTTCAAATGTTTCTTTTAAGTTATTTACAACTTTGTAAAGTAGGTTTAATACAATTCATTACTTTTGATAGACTAGTTTTAATATTTTCATTTACTTTCCAATACATTTACATCTTTCCTTTATTACTTTAATAGTTTAGAGTTCATGCTTTCATTTATTATTTTTAAGTATATTAGTTTACTACTTTCATTTAGTTTCATAATTTACAACTTTATTTTTACTTTTCGTGCACTTAAAATCCAAAAATTCCCCTTATTTCTAGCATTAGACATTTAAAAATCAAGATTTAAATAAAATTGATCAATTATTCCTGAGGATACAATCTATGTTAGTTCTATCATTGCATTATTCGTTGATGACATTTAGGTGACAATATTTCGTTCATCAAGCGACACTATCTTTTTATTATTCTTCTTGTCATTTTCAACATCGTCATTATTGAACTCACAATGTCTCCCTCCCGTACTCTCATCAATAGGATTGAGATATTTGTTGACGTAAATTGGTAAAATTTGATAGATGATGATTATGTTGATGTTAAAGGTCGAAGGATGATGAACAATGATAAAACTTCTTGAAAAAATAAGAGACCCTGAAAAAATATTGTAATATATATGTACAATTATAATTTTGACTTTTAAATTTAATGATTATTAAATATATTTATTTTTATATATACAAATTTAACTTAATCTTCATTGTAATAAAGACTTTTAATTAGAAATACTAATTAACCATAATAGTTTCATCATCATTCTAATCAAAATTAAAGACTTAAATATGAAATATCTTATCCATCTTTGACATCATATGAACCTATGACCAAATCTTCTTTATAAATGATTATAATTTTTAATCAGGAAGTGATCACTTAATAGTAATATATTTTATTAAGTATTGGTTCAATTTTGTTTATTGATTCATGTGAATAATCTTACCGAGGGAGAATAATAATAATCTTTTAAAAAAAACTGTAAATATTTATTATAAAACAAGAATAACATGATTTATGGTTGTAAGAGCTCAAGATACATAGAACTTGATTCTAAAGAAAAAATAATAATTATTCTTAATGTAAAAAAGTAAAAAAAAATTAACTTGAAAATATAACTAGCTGAAAATCACATGAAAGAAATCAAATTTTGACGTATAAAAATTAAAATTGGTTATTTTGAAAATATAGGAATTTTTTTTAATAATTCATGTAAAAATAGACATTATTAATAATTTGGAATTATTTTAAGACATAAAAACAATAAATAGTGGTGAAATTGAATATTTCATGAAAAAATTCAATAGAAAATTTCATTAATGTTGTCAAATAATATTTTATTTTATTTTATTATTAGCTTCTGTTCTATAAAGTCACTTTAGGATTAAAGGGTTTATAGTAATTACATTTTTTTTTCAAACTTCATCCGTACTATTTCATTTGATATTTTAATTAAAAATATTTTACTTTTCCTTTTATGATGTCAAAGACGTATTAAATTTTTTTTCTTACGGTATTTTTGGTACAGAGTGAAAAGCTAAAAATAAATATAATAAATCGAATTAATATAAAAATATTATACATAACGTAATAATTGTTATAAAATAATATTTTTTGTGTCAAATGAAATGGGACATGACAGTGTACTGTTTTCTTTTGATTGATTAATAATTGTCATGGCTCATGTCACGTCACAGAGTATCCCAATACCTTTAAGCGTAATCTTAGATGGCAGGATTCTAGTGGTCCACGGAAGGATAGCAATTTGCAAGAAGATAGGATTCCTAAAAAAGAAAAAAGATTGAGAAAAGTGTGAACACTTTCATTCAATTATCTATCACTTCTCTTGCTTTTCTCAAAGTCTAAGCTAAGTACTCATCACATGATTCACTTACCTCACCCTGAGAGACCCTCAGAGATGATAATGCAGTAATCTAAATGGCTGTCACTTGCTGCAACTTCACCCAAGCTTCTTCTGGGTTCATCAAACTCCAGGAGTACATTCAGCTGCAGAGCAACTTCACAAGGCAAGTTCCTTCTTCTTTATCTGTCCTTCAACAAAACTGGAAAAGTGAAAGATAGCAAGTGAATTGTTTCTGTACTGCTGTGTTGAAGAGAACGTGGTGGTTGATTTTCAGGTGCCAGCAGAGGCAAACGTGTAGTGTTGAAAAAGTCTTCCATAGGAGATATGGAGGAAGGTTGCAAGTTGAAAGATGGGATCGGTATAAACATGTGTTATGTGCAAGAGGAGTGGAGTTATCCCCTTCTGTCGTTGGAGACTCAGGAGAGGAAACTGAGGAGGATATTTCAAAGGAAACCTTGATTTGGAGAGCCATCAAGTTGCCAATTTACTCTGTTGCATTCGTTCCTCTCACTGTGAGTATCTGAACTTTTTTTTTTTTTTTTTAAGTTGAGCAAGTGTAGCTACTACTAACAGGGTTTCTGTGGTGCATGAGTTTTTGAGATAAGATGTCACCGCCACACTGAGTATTCATATGAAAAATTATTAACTAGTTTGAGACACATAACATAATTGATTGAGACCAGGGCACATGGTGAATGGGATTATCTAGAAATTTCTAGTACTTGTATTGTGTATAATGTGTGTTGAGAATTTGAGTGTCAGTGAGATGTGGATTAATAAGTCCCACTCTTGGAAAGGAATGGAAAAATATAAGTAGAAAACTAGTAGGCTTCTTCTTAGTAAGTCCATTAGATGGCATAACAGTGGAGTGGAGTCCAGAGGAAACAACAATGTGTGCAGTGTTCTTGCGTATGTGAATTATGCAGTGAATCATTATATCTCAAATCAATGTATCAGCTCAAATCTCAACTATATAGTTCTACATAGTGAACGTTAAGTCAAAGTTTCGCCCGCAGGGAACATAGTAACTTGAAGAGAGCGAGCCTTGGCATAATGGTAAGGTTGTTCTGTTGTGACATGGAGGTTACAAGTTCAAATTTTGTAAATAGTCTCTCAGCTTGTGGGGGAAGACTTTATACCTAGCGGGTATAAGGTAGGATCTCTGCTCACTAGGCCATCCTGTTAACCTGAGCATTTTGCTTACCTCTGGAAGAAGGCTAACATTAGTTATAATACACAGAAGGCAGTATATTTGAAGCATATTAACTTTCTAGAGAAAATTTTCCTCCGGTTATCATCTCTCCCTCTTTCCTATGTTAATGTTTGTAAGATATTTCTAATTATAGTATATAGATGATTGCTTACAAGATAGTTTTATAGAGTTGAATTAGGCTTCAAATCTATGATTATATCAGAGTTTATTTGTTGGACCTATCGAAGCATTCACAAATATCTAAAAGCAATACTGTATGAGAGGATTTCTAATTTATTTCTTGGTTTTTTTGGATAGGTAGGTAGTGCAGCAGCGTATTTGCAGACAGGGATCTTCTCAGCTAGATGTTATATTGTTCTCCTGGCTTCCTCAGTTCTTGTGATTACCTGGCTCAATTTAAGGTAAGTTTCAATACTGTTTGAGACTTTGAGGATCGGAATGAGTGAATACAAAGTAGAAGTAAATGATTGTTCAACACCACAAAATCTCCCTATTATAAATTATTTTCTTAAATATATAAGGAAAATGGATTCTGGTAACAAATTCATCATTCGAACTTTTGGAAGCCATCATTTTCAGTCGAATATAACATAAACTGCTACCACCCAAATCACAGGCTAGATAACTGTTATAAATCTGTAACAACATGGAACTAAAGGAATCTCATCCATAGTTCTTGAACCATTCTATCAATTTCTTATCCTTAATACAGTGACGGTAAAGCTGTCAATCAACACAAAGTCGTCTCAAACTTGTAACTCACCAACCGTTTTTTTTTTTTTTTCATTTTTGTGCTCGATAGTACTAAGCCATCCTATGAAAATGATTTCACAATCTAATTCACTACCAATTTTCACCCCCCTCTCCCTTCATTCCCTTATGCATCATTCTTAACAAATACTTCCATTGTTCTTAAAAGGAATATATTAATTTTTCTTAAGTAATTTCTTATGCTTGGCCATGACAGCAATGATGTTTATGATTTTGACACTGGAGTTGACAAGAACAAAAAGGAATCAGTTGTAAACCTGGTTGGAAGGTGAGTTTTTCCAAGACTTGGTTTTGGTGTTTTTCTGTTTTCTTTTGCTTTTGTATTTGATAGAGAGAAATAACTCAGCTTGTTTATTCCTTATGTTGAATTTGGAAAGTCGTACAGGAACCTCCATTGCTGCCTACTTGTGCCTTGCTCTTGGCTTCATTGGGCTGACATGGACTGCTGTTGCAAAGAAGAACATGTCTTCAATGTTGTTTCTTGTTTGTGCAATTATTTGTGGCTATATATATCAGGTAGAAGTTTCTTCTGACATCAGAATCGTGTTGGAAAGTTATTGAGAAGTCATTGACTTTCAATTTCTCTACTTGGCCCTTTTCTGTTGCAGTGTCCACCATTTCGGTTAAGCTACCAGGGGCTGGGAGAGCCCTTGTGCTTTGCAGCATTTGGTCCTTTTGCTACCACTGCTTTTTATTTACTACATGGAAGTTCAAGGTTTTCTTAGCTACCAAATTTGAATGTCACTTAAACTATTTGATTTTCATGGTATTGATTCTCAATGTTTTGGACAGTGTGATGAACCATTTCCCTTTAAGTGGAACAGTTCTTTCTGCATCAATTCTTGTTGGCCTCACAACATCTCTTATCTTGTTTTGCAGTCATTTCCATCAGGTACTTTTATTTTTGTGATGGAGCTCCATGTTATGATTTTGAGTAACTTTGATTAGGTGACATGTTTTTTTTGCACACTACAGGTGGAAGGAGATAAGGAAGTTGGGAAAATGTCGCCTTTGGTACATGCACTTTGTTTAATTTAACATTTTTCTTGTTCATGTTAACAACGTAAATCTACCTATGTTACTTATTTTCCATTTCTCTTTCAGGTTAGACTTGGCACTAAGAAAGGTGCACAGGTAGTGAAAGGGGCAGTCTTGATGCTTTATGCACTTTTGGTTGCTTTTGGTCTAAGCAAGGAACTTCCCTTCACTTGTGTAGTATGTACTTCTAAACTCAGTCAAATTTTTTATCTCACTTATGAAATTTTCCCTTCTTTACGTGTATAGTTGTTGTTTTGGAATTTGAACCATGCACTTACGATTTGTTCATTTGTTCATTTGTTTATGAATATGATTGTACATGTACTAGTTCCTTTGTTCATTGACCTTGCCGATGGGAAACCTGGTCATTAGATTTGTGGAAGACAATCACAAGGCAAGAGAAAGACTGGTGCTGAGTCTTTGTTCTTCTGGTGTATTTCCTGTAGTTTGCTAACCGTGAGTTGTATTCTTGCAGGACAAAAATAAGATTTTCATGGCTAAGTACTTCTGTGTAAGGCTGCATGCTTTGTTTGGAGTTGCACTGGCTTTAGGATTCGTACTGGCTAGAAATACAACATTTACATCATGGCCAATATTGAGTTGAAGATTGGCTTGTGGAAAGCGGAAGTAATATGCACTAAGGGGATTGATTTCTGAGGATGACCAACAAGTCTGTGTGGTGCAACAGCATACAATTCGGGTCATGAAAACTTTCTTCCGCGTTTTTATATAATAGGGTTAAAAAGAAAATCCAATTTTACATAATTGCGTTGAAAGTCAAAAAAATGACTGGGTCAAATCGTGTTTGTAAGCATGATTTAGGAGGTCATCAAAGCTAAAATCGTGTTAATTAACACGATTTTAGTTGAAGGTATTTCTTTTTTGAAATCAAGCTAATCACATGATTTTTATTAAATTTGTGCTATCTAGTATGTATTATGTATATTTTTTTTCTTTTAAAAAATAGGATTATTTGATTTTTTTAAATATATTATTTATAAAATAATTAATTTTAATTTAATTATTAATTTGAAATAGAAAATAAAAATATTAAGAGAAGTAAATGTATAGATAGATTTAAATGAGTATATTTTCATTAAAGTATTACATTATTTTAAAAAAATAATACAAATTTATTATTTAAATGGACAATTTTTATGGATATGTCTTTCATTTTGACAAAAATGAATATTTTTCAATTTATTTGTAATAATCTTCGTATTGAATTGAATGGAATTAAAATTTATACATGTTATAAATGCTTTTTAACATATAAACTAGATCAATAAATACAATCAATTGTAAATGACAAGATGAACAAACAACAATAAAGTGAGAATACGGAAGTCAAAGGAGTTTGAAATTTCTCACAATCATACCATCATTGATTTAATCAAACTATTTAGCTTATTGAACTTTGATGATGGTAGAAATTTGATTGGTCTTGTACGTCAAACTCAGAATTTTCTCAATTGTATATTTGAATATGACATATTTGAGTACGGTATTCATTTTTGTTAAGTAGTATAATAATATTTTTTGGATACTCATGGTATGATCATAACATATACTATGTTTTCATATCTCTTTTCACAAATTAAGATCTAGTTTTATCAAAAATTGTTTTAGTTAAGATAGATATAGGTAAAGTTTGTGCTCATTTGAAAACAAAATTCATAGACTCAACAAAATTTGTTGTCATATGTCCATATCTCTTGCCTCCAGCATAAGCATTAGTTAATTTCTCCAATTGAATCTCATATAATTAGGGCATTTGTTGTTCAAAATCAGACTTTAAAGCAAATAGTTTTGCTAAAAGTGTTGGTTGTTTCATCTTATATCCTGCATAGAAATATATAATTTCATACATATGTTATTTAGAGAAATAATTTGTGTATGTTAGAAAATGTTACCTAGATTGATGACTTATATTTTCAACACTGAAGTTAGATTTTTTCCAATCAAGATCTTTCGATTGTAAATTGATAATATTCCTTTTCCTCTGTCTGTTATCATGAATAAATTATTTTAAGGTATAACATAATGTCTTAGATGTTGTAAAAACTATACGAATGTCTCTTTCATTTTATCTTCTACAATTGTAAATACAAGTGAAAATATGTTTCTGTTACTATCTTATGCAGTTGTAAGCAATAATGTAACATGATATTTTCTTGTTAGAAATATATCGTCAACTTGAACAATTGACTTGCAATCACTTTGGAAGATCATTGTATGACTCTTCTCAATCTCCAAATGTCACGACAAGCGTCTTTTATTTTGCTAGCCATGTTTTTCTGTAAGTCATTATATAACCATATTCGTCTTTGACTTTTGAAATCAAATTTTGATACGAACAAATATTTCTTTTATAATTAATTCAAAAAATAATGTTAATAATGATAGAAGAACTTAAGTTTTGATGATCTAGATTTAACATTGTAATCAAACATGTATGAGGTGCATCAATTTTTTTAATCCCTCATTAATTATAAATGTTACTGAATGAAGCATGAACTCTACATTAACATATGTTATCATAATGTATACAACAAATAATATATTGGTCAGGTTTAGACTCAACAACAAAATATTTGTATCTGTCATCAATATTAAATTGTGTTATTGCACTTATTATTGCTTTATATTGTTCTCAACTATATGGTTAATTGTAGGGATGACAATTAAACTCGTACCCGTGGGGACTGACCCGTCCCCGCCCCGAGTTTGAAGCAAATTTGTTTATATAGATGTTTTTCTAACTAACTGATCTAATTAATCGATTAATTCGCTCTTTAATCGATTAAAATAACTTGACTTTAACGGTTTTAACTGATGAAAATATCATTTAATCGATTAAAATGCTCTACAATTTTTCTCGAGGCATTTTAATTGATAAAAACACAGTTTAATCGATTAAAATATTTCTGAAGTTTTTTCAAATGCGTTTTAACCGATAAAAATGAGTTTAAATCGATTAAAACAGTGATACAAAATTTATTTTAAGTGTTTTTAATTGACTAATTTGAGTTTATATCGATTCAAGTTCTAGCAGTAAGTTTTCTAAAACTTCTCAAGTGTTTTTAATCGATTAATTTAAAGATATATTACTTAAAATACTTGACAAAGGGTTTTTTAAAACTTCTCAAATGAAAATAATCAATTAATTCGAAGATATATTGATTAAAACTACAACAAAAAATGTTTTCACTTGGTTTAAGTTATTTTAATCGATCATTTCAAAAATATATCAGTTAAAATACTGATAGAAGATCTTTCAAAACTTCTTAAGTGAAATTCATCAATTAATTCAAAGATATATCGATTAAAACTGTGATAGAAAATGTTTTCACTTGGTTTAAGTTGTTTGAATAAATTATTTCAAAAATGTATTAGTTAAAAATGATACAAAAGTGTTTTCAAGTTTTTTAAGTGATTTTAATCGATTAATTTGTAATTATATCTGTTAAATATGACACTTAAGAACAAATTAACTGATTAAAAGGATTTTTAACATATTAAAATGATTTGAGACATTTTTATTCTTTTCAAATGATAGAGGCTCATGATGTAAGATTGGATAAATGATTATACTTACTCAATATTGATGCAGACTCACTAAAGACTATCACATTATGTCTCCTATTTCACGATTCCTTTGACTTCATCATATCTTTAAGATATCTAATATTTCTTCTTCTTCATCATCATCATCGTTGGACACAAGGAAATCTTGAAGGTGTTCGGAATTTTGGATCAATGGTCCTCCAAAAGCAAGTGAAACACAACCGATGGAGTATGGGATTAGTACCTGGGTGGAGCAAATTTTGTTGGATTCTTCAGTTGCACCTTGAACAGGTGCGAAAGTTTTTCTATTTAGTTCTACAAACTGAGTATTTATAGGTTAGATAGTGAAGTTTGAGAAGTTGCAAATAATGAAGCCATTTGAAAGAAGGGTATAAGGTGGTATTCAAGTACGATATCGATCATAAGAGAAACGAAGCAACTGAGAAGGTTTTTGAGAATTAGTTTGTAGAGTAGGGTAGGTGTGTGAGAGTGAGGAAGATGAGTAGTTTCAATCTTTTTGAAAGAAGAGACTTTTCCTGGGAAAGGCCCATATCCAATAAATCAAATATGTTTTAATAAATTTAGATCAATTATGGGTGAAAGAGTGACCATACATACAATCGTATTTATTACAGGAATTTTGCATTTATGAGGGGAATAAAAATAATAATGAGAACATGGGACAAAGAACAACTTTTGGATAAAGTAAGGATAAAATATTTGAAGTTGATATCGAAGATAAGAGAATACATATATTCATCGATGATTCATATAGTATTATCTGAAGGGGCATTTTGTTAAGTCTAAAATTTACAAATAGATCAAGAGAATTAATTGAGAAAGGGGATATCAGATAGTTAGAAGGAGTAAATGTAGTAATAGAGAAAGACATATTATAGAGTAGTAGAAGAGTAACCAATATGAGTTTTTGAAGAAGGTCAGAGCATCAACAAATCGAGAATCGAGGAATTAAATAGTGAAGAACATCAAAGTACAAAGACACAATGTATCGGGAGGAAACTATATTGAAGGATTTATGAGTTGTGTATCGAGAGACTTATGGAGACAATTATAATACAGTTCCTTAGTATGTATAGTTACAAGTAACATGTATGAACAAGGTGGAGTGAATAGAAGTAGTTACAAGAAAATAACCGTTCGAAGATTCTAATTCATAGTTTTATTTTTTATTCTTGTTTTTTGGTTTTATCTTTATGACACCTTGACTATTACAAAAAATAATATATATAGGATAAAATAAAAGTAACTAGAGGTGATTATCAAATTATACAACTTACATTTTGAAAAATGTTACAAACTAGAAACAAGTATTTTTAATAAAGTTCTTTGCAATTTGGATAACCACTTTCGTTAATTTTCTTATCAATTTCTATTTTATCTTTGATAATGGGTTAAATTTATCTTTCTACCATTTAATTTCTTATACATTTACTTTTAAGTAATTTACTTTTACAATTTCTTTACTATTCTTGTAAATTTACTTTAAATGTTCTAAATTGTATTAAACATAAAAATTAAATACGAATGATTTTTAATTGAAATCTATTGTGTACTAAATTTTAAATGAAATTAAGAACTCACTTAATATTTAAATAATTCATTGGGTAAATTTATCAAATATATCGAGCAACGAATTATTTATCCTAAAACACATTTACAACTTATTACATTTATTGATCCGATTTATAAATTAAAAAATATTTATAACACATGAATTTGAATTTCATCCCGTTTGAAATGAAAATGGTTAGTTTGCTTATCCATGTTAAAATTTTGTTCTTGATCTATGTGTCGAAAAACATAAATAAAAAAATCTACAACTAATCAAATTCGGAAGGAAATAGATGTACTGATTGCAAATAAAATGGTGCTACTATTTTAGTTTTAACCACTTGAAATCGTACTTTCAAACGACGCATACCGCAATCATTTTTTTTTGGCTTTCCACCTAATCATGTAAACTTGGATTTTTATTTTTTTTAACCTCTGTTATGTAAAAACGCCGACCTTCTTCACATGGTTTCGAAACAATTGTCATTTTCTTCCCCTTCTTGGCCAAATAAGTTTGAAGAAACTGCATGACATTGATATATGAAGATTGTGAAACGTAACAAATCAGATGGTTCCACTACCCAGGCATCTCTAACTTTCACTGTTAACCTTGGTTGATTAGAAGTACAGCAACATTTGCTGATAAGAATCTTGTCGTGAAATCAGACCACACGTAGATTGTTTAATATTTGCCAAGAAACTTTACAAATTACAATGGAAACCTTAATATTTGTAGCTGTCATGGGCAAGGAGTTACAGGGCGAAATGCTTCTAGCTATCATATTCAAAAATTACAATTTAATGAAAGAATGAAAATCTCATTTACATAAATAACTAATTCTACTTCAATAAGTAAAACGTTATAGACTGATAAATGAAAAAAAAAAAATGACTTAGGTATTAAATGTGAAAAGTTTAATAATTTTGTTTTTAAAGTAAGTTTTATGATAATATTTTATCATTAAACAATGTAATTTTAAGGATAACTAGGAATCATTTGTAATTAAACTAAGAATCAATTTGTATATAAAACACATGGGACTAAATCATAATTTTATTTTCTTAAGTACCAAATTGAGAGCACTTACATAGTGGTCATTTACCTAATGTCATTTAGTTCCTAAACAACAATTTCCAGTTAAGTTTTTTTATAAGACCATTTTATCATTAAAACTGTAATATTTATTTATAGACTGATTTGATATTAAGTTGCATTTTTGGAAGACAAATATCACAATTCAGAGACTTGTTTGCATTAAGTTGTACAACACAATATTTTTGTTGTTTATTACACGTTCACAAACAAACTCATAATTTCTATTATTTCAAGGAGAAATTGTCATTTATCGTAATTATACATTATCTATTGTCCATATTAAAAACATGAAATAAAAAAAAATTATAATAAAAGAGACTTAAATGTCATAATAACAAAATTACATAAAAAAATTGTATAATTAAATTACAAGGTTTTAATAATAAAATTTAAAAAAAAATGGTATAGGTATGAGTGGGATGAAGTTTTATGTACTTAAAATCAATATTTAAACTCATATTATAAAGTTTGCAAATTTGAAATCCAAACCAAACTTATATAGTTTGAATAAAAAATTAAACTTTACCTTCGGTTGAATAGAATTTGGGGTTATTTGTTGGATCCACCCATTTCTACTTCGAAATAAAATTTGTGACTTTATCTTTGCTGAGAACCCTCGCATACATCATTCAGAAATGAGATGACACATGGGGGAAGTAGCATCATGCTAAATGAGGTAGTGAAGAGCAAAAAAGGGGTCCTCTTGACCGGTTCTCGTTCTTCGTCAACATAACATTATTTTCTTTTCTCATACCTCTGATCTCCCTTCTTCTCTGTATTGTTTTGCAGAATGGAAAAGGAGAGAAAACTGTTGTACATATAAAAAAATAAAGGGGCATGCATGTATGTATGACGTGAAACGTAAGAAAGTGTAACATAAAAATGTGGGTGTTCTATATGATCTCATTGCCCGTGGCTATTGGCATGGTCATTTTTACTTTGAAATATTTCTCTGGGCCTGATGTACCCAACTACGTGTTCTTCACCGTTGCGTACACCTGGTTCTGCTCCGTCTCCATCATCATCCTCGTCCCTGCAGACATTTGGACGGTATTTCTATACTAATTTGTTATAAGAACACACATTTATTTCAGTTTTTCTGTGGTTTTTGTTATATTTTACGTATGACATGAGAATAGGGTTAAACATTCAAGGGATTAGGATTTCTAGCTGAGTATATTTTATTCTTAAAATTTGTGCTCTTGGGACGAGTAATCAATGAAGGAAAAGAAGAAAGTTGAGTTTATTTCTTTCATTAACAGCTACTCTATTGTTTGGTATTTGATTCATTGCAACTTGGTAAAGTCATTTCCCTTCATTGATAGGCACTAAATAATGATGAAAGTGGAGCAATTTCCTTTTTATGGAGTTTGTCATATTGGAGTACCTTCTTACTAACATGGTAAGCTGCTTCCCTAAAATCTGGTCCCACTTGACTAATTCCTCTGAAATTTAACAACTTTATATAATGTATATATATACTTCCATCAAGTTTTCTACACAAGTTCAAATTGTTTTTAAGTTACCCCTTGTTTCCTTGTTATTTACAACTTGTTAAATATACAAATAAATTCACACACATGGAGGATAGAAGCAGCAGCAGGAGCTAGAAGACTGATATAGAATATTTCCATTACTTTTGTAATTGACTGTATTTTGAATTTGTCATAACTTATCCTAGTTGGTATGAAGTTGTGCAATAGTTTTATGTGTATGGCAGCTAGGTGAATAGAAATACACACTCATAGTTCTGTATTAAATTATTTCTCTAAACAGGGCTGTGGTTCCGACTATTCAGGGTTATGAAGATGCTGGAGACTTTACAGTGAAAGCAAGATTGAAGACCAGCTTACACGGAAACCTTGTTTTCTATCTGTCTGTCGGTTCTGTAGCACTGTTTGGATTGATCTTACTAATTTCTTTACACAAAAATTATTGGTCTGATTCTTTCTTTTATATTTCTATTATCTTTCATTTATTTTGAATCATTGGATGTGAACCCTTCTTTTAGTTATCCGCAAAATAATTTTACAATTAGTTTCATAGCGAACTTCCAAATTTTCTGTACACTGCCAAACCTCTATACTGAGTTTTGCTACATAATTTTCAGGAGTGGTAATATTTCGGGTTTTGCCATGGCTTGCTCCAATACATTTGGACTGGTTACTGGTGCATTTCTACTTGGATTTGGTTTGAGTGAAATTCCAAAGGGCATTTGGTTGAATGCAGATTGGAGCATTGAGCAAAAGGTTCTTTCACATAAAGTTGCAAAAATGGCTGTCAAATTAGATGATGCTCATCAAAATCTTTCAAATGCTATTGTTGTAAGCTCTCCATACATTTTGTCTATAAACACCTTCTAACAATTAAATTTGCATTTTGTGTAAAGTCTTCTGAATTTGCATTCGTTGTCTCTTACCCTGGAAGTGGGATGGTTGTCATGTAATTTAGAATTAATTCCTTGCAATATTAATCATTGTTCTTTTTATTGGTCCAATTCCAATTTTGTGAGGACTACGATATAATTGTATAAAATTTGCCATTTTTTCATCTAGATAGGTAACATTTAGTTTATTGAAAAATTTGGTGTGCATATATTAGTGAATCAAACTAAATCTGCATTGCAATGATAAAACGAAATGCTTTCTTTTTTATCCTTTATTCTTTGCAGATATGATTTTTCATGGTGTGACATTGTCAGATCACACAGGCAACATCAAAGCAAATGTCCAAGCGGGATTCTTTGAGACCCTACATGAATATAATTGACAAAATGTTGCTTCAGATGGTAAAGTCTTTAAGTTATACATGATAGTATTTTGATTCAAAATGTTCTATAGATGTATAAATGTTCATATATAACTGGCTTTTCCAGTTGAAGGATGACCCCTCCTTCAAACCACAAGGTGGAAGACTAGGAGAAAGTGACATGGATTACGATAGAGATGAGAAATCTATGGCATCACTAAGACGTCGTATTAAGAGAGCTCGTGAGCAGTACTACCGATATAGAAGGTAGCCACTAATCTGCTTGGTACAGAAGTTGGTGCAGGGTTTTGAATTCTAATTTCTAATAATCAAGTATTGAAGAAATGATTTGATGAGATTGAGATATATTTCGCATATATATGCGGATTTTATTTATTTTGTGCATACTATTATAAATAGAAAAGTATGTATGTCGATAATTGTAATCATACATGAAGATTTATCTTGTATGCAAGAATCTTGTAGGAGTAATTTTGTTCCTTTAAGAAAATCCTCTGCCTCAATGAAATAGCTTCAAAATATATGAAATATTGATAATTGAATGCAACATAGCTAGGAAAATATAGGTTAATGAGGTGACCTTTTGTATATGTGTGTCCCTTTGGCTTGTGAATGCAACATGGCTAGGAAAATATAGGTTAATTTCTTTTTCTCCTCCTGACCTACACATTCTTTTGTTTATTGGATAATGTGATGTATTCGTTTCTGAAATGTCATTTGATACAATTATCAGAAGAAGACCAACCCACATCATCACAAAACTCGATTTACAAATTTGCTACACTTTCAACAAGACCCAATAATTAATAATATCTAGAATATGTTTAAATATTTCATATATCTACTATATTATATATTTTTTCTTAGTTGTTACAGCATGAAATCCTTATACAAATTTGTTACATTCCTTATCATTAGGAGTTATAACCTTTGCAGGTTGATACATATATATTTTGTCATATCTTGGAGGTCTTTTGTGCAATGAATACAATCTTCATTTCTTCTCTGTTGTATCTTATGATTTTATATGTTAAGTTTATTTTTTTATTCTCTATTGTATCTTATGATTTTATATGTTAAGTTAATTTTTTATAGTATTAGAGCTGCTCCTTTTTTTTTTTCTTTATCACCATGTCATTTGTTACATAAAATTTAGTCCAATACTCTAATTAAAAACTCTCAAGCTCTTACTATATTTATCCTAGTGAAAATCCCTCCTTTATCATTATATCACTAGTATTGACCGAAAATAACTTTGACCCTTGGTCATGATTATTTTGAATGACCATAATCTTTAAAAATAAAACGGGATTCCTCATTGAAACCATACTTGTCTCGACACCTATAGATCACATATACTCCCCTTAGGAACGCTACTTCAATAAGTTCGTAATGTTTTGGTTGATATAATTTGTCATCATCCTTTTCTAATAGTGTTCTATATTTTAATTCTACTACTAAAATTTGGAAATACGAGAGGAAATGTTTCTTCTAACATGATCTCCTACGCATAGTAGAGCTTTATGAAGAAGTTTATAGCCTCAAACAAGGCACAAACAGTCACCGATTACTTCACTACCCTCAAATCTATATGGAGGAGCTTGACAACTATTGTCCCATGGATTTTTGCATTGTATGGCTAAAACTTATCATTAACAAGATTTTATGATCTATTTTCTAAAAGGCTTTGATGAGCGATACTTAGTAGTGTGCTCCCAAGTTTTACTCATGGATCCTTTACCCAACGTAAATAGAGTCATTTCCATGGTTATCTAACGTGAGTGATAATAACCACTTGATCATAATAGTTTTGCTAATGTAGTTGACAAACGTCAATTCCATGGGAAAGGATGTGGAACCCCATACTGTTGAAAGTCCCACATCGCCTACCTCATATCATTTGGTATGGTTTAAATACATGTTAGGCTACTCCACATATTGCCAATTGGTTTTATGTTGGAACCTTAACATGGTATCAGAGCCAAAGCCTAACATCTTTCCGGTTATTGTCATGGGCCAAAAGTTGTCCTTTAGTTGGGTCAAAAGTACCCTTTGCCTGGTTCGGCAGGCTTCGTTGGAGGGGGTGTGTTGAAAGTCCCACATCGCCTACCTCATATCATTTGGTATGGTTTAAATACATGTTAGGCTACTCCACATATTGCCAATTGGTTTTATGTTGGAACCTTAACACATACAATTTTGGAAAGGGTGGTTAGTGTAAGTTGTGCAATTCGTGTGGGTGTTCTTTTGGTCACACAATTGAAGAAAGGGATTTTCCTAAGTTAGGGCTAAACATCACTGCTTCCCAATGTCAACATTTATTGAGTCTTCTCCAACAAAGTAAAATAATTGATGGTTCATGTTCAGATGACACAACTTGCCATGCCAACCTCTCTCATGTTCTACCAAATGAACCAAATGATTTTTTCACCCAAAGTTTGGTAACCCTTATGTTTTGAATATTCAGACCCACACTCCTATTGTTTCTTACAAAATATGCTTAAGCACTATTCCATGGTAATAATCTCAGAAGGAACATATCATGTAGCATCTTCTTTAAAATATTTTCAAGTTTATTTCAAAATAAATTCATTCACATCAAACTGTCCATTAGTATCTTTGTCACCTCAACTCATTTGGGCATAATTTATTTTTCAACCAATTTTGATTTCCACAATGTTCTACTTGTGTCTAATTTTCATTTTAACATTATCTCTAATTCCAAGCTTTTGTCTAATTCTTGTTATACACTCATCTTCTCCAATGTCTTTTGCATAATTCAAGAACACAAACTCCTTGAACATGATTGATTTCGCTAAATTGCATAAACGACTCCACCATCTAACTACTAATCAAGAAGACCATCCCACTCCATGGCCTTCCTCCATCAACACTTTCACTATCACACCCATTACTACATCATCTGGCCTTTTAGATTAGGACACTTGTCTAGAAATTGTTTAAATATTTTACATCCACATTTTCTCTTGATTCCCAAATTGTTCATGAACCTTGTGATATTTTTCATTTGACTAAAAAATATTGTCTGACTCACCAAGTATTAATAGAGCTTCAAGAATTTTTCTTTAATTCACATGGACATTTGGGGAACTTTTTTCAACATTTCAGTGCATGGCCACAAAGAGTGTCCCATATTTATATCTACTATGATAACATGGTTAAGATCCATCACCATATTTGAGGTATTGTTTGCTTTGAAACTTTATTCCATCACAACTTTGTCCTTAAAGAGCATTTTAGTGGTTTAAGGAAAGATAGTATTTGTAGACCACCCTTATCCTAGATTCCTAAACAAAGACTTATGAGTGTACACTTGAAGAAAAACCAATTTGAAATAAAAGTTAAATGCATACGATCTAACAATAACCTAAATATTTCTAAAAGTATTCTTTTCATCCAAAGGCATTTTACATCAAACAAATTATGTTGCTACACTCTAACAAATGGGGAGAGTCAAACACAGGCACCCACCAATACATCCTCAATGTAACTATTACCCTCATGTTTCAATCAAATATTCCTAGTCATTTCTGATCATATGCTAACAAACATGTTGTCTAATTACTCCTATTTTCAATACATACATATTCTCTGCATGTCCTGATTTGTTACTATTATTTTATTATTGTTATATTATTGCAGTGAGTATACAAAATTTGTCCTAGAAGCCCTTGAGCTGGAGGATACCATAAAGAATTATGAGCGTCGTGAGGATATAGGATGGTTTGTCTTAACCTACACTTTTTCTCATTGTTCAGTCTCTTCATCGTCTCTTCTTTTGACACTGAACAAATAATGTTAATAGTAAGCAAACTTTGTGAGCTTATATGATTCCAATGGTTTGTTTCTTCAATATGCATAAAAATACAAGACATATCTTACACAAAAGGGTTCTTGTAGCCAACAAACATGAAAGCAACAACATGATATCTTTGCTATTTATTTTGAGATATATTCTTGGCTTAAGATACTAATTAGACTCTATATTTAAAGTTTTTATTTTTAATTGTTGCAGGAAATATATTTCATGCATGAGGCCTGAACGCATAGGCAAAGTAGGTGCATTTTTGGAAACAATTGGTACTTGCCGCATATTAAATTTATGTGCTCTTTCTCCTATATTTCTGATAAATTTACGTATTGTTTTCTCTATGCTTGGAAGAAAAAGTAGGATGTGACCCTATAGACTCACTAATTATGCTTTATGGTTTTAAAACTGATCTATGTCCTCAAAGATAAATATCTAGATGAGTATTCTTAGTGGTAATCTTTGTCTGATAATTTCATCACCATATAACTGGAAAATCATTTTCTTTTCTCTTACAAAAGTAATAGTTTGGAATTTCACAAATTTTTCTTATTAGGTACTAAACAGAACAATTATATATCTTACTGAAATGAAAATTTATCACAGAGTTTCTATGGAGATGTATAATATGGAAACAGCTTAAGAAATCATTGGCTGTTATATTGGGTTGCATGTCATTTGCAATTCTATTAGCAGAGGCTACCATACTAACCAGTGGAGTTGATCTATGCCTTTTCTCTATCCTAGTACACGCTGCAGGAGAGCAAGAGGTGCTTGTACAGGTAATTTTTGCAGACTTGTACCAATATAATTTTCTTTAAATTAATTTTCCTCCTAATTTTTTTTTTTCTGTTAAGGCTACATTTTTTTCTTAAATCTGATAATCAAGATTGTTTCACATAGTAATTGACACCATAAACCTAAAGTAGGTTTGAGGCTTGCTGCTTCCATTGGATTTTTGTGAGTTCGTAAGTATTTATATTCATTGCAGATGTGTTATTCTTATTTGTACGTGAAGGAAACTTTTCCAAAAACATGAAATCGGGATGTGTCCATAACTTAAAATTTAACATTTATAAATTAAAAATCAGATTTTAAAAAAAATAGTAGAAAGTTGCAGATTAGTCATCTACCTGTAGCCTAATTAGACTCATGGATGAAATTAATAATTTTCTTTGTTCATTTTCCTGATAAATGACTGTTTGAATTTTTTTTCCAGTTAGCTGCATTCATCCCCTTGATGTATATGTGTATTTGTACATATTATTCCTTGTTTAAAATGGGAGCCATGATGTTTTACTCACTGACTCCAAAGCAAACAAGCTCAGTAAGCTTGCTTATGATATGCTCGTAAGTCACTTTCTTTAAATATGCTATTTTTTTATCATTTGTGTGAAGTGTATAATTATTCTAAATTGTTTGCCTTTGCATGTCACTTTTTTTTTTGTGTAGGATGATTGCAAGATATGCCGCACCCATTTCATACAACTTTCTCAATCTCATAAATATTGGAGGGGATAGAAAAACCATTTTTGAGAAAGTATTTTACTATTTACTGGTGCTTCATTTGTTGTTCTAAATCATGATGTTGTCTTCAATCATTAGTGTTCTTAGGTAGCGTGTATGAGTTAATGTGCATCATGATGAGATTGACCCTTAAGGATACAAAGGCTGAAGGTTTTAATTGACACAAAAAATGGCATTTGAATTTTATATTTCAAAAAAAGCTTTTACAATTGTGTGTTCTTAACACCAGCCCTTAGGGCCTATGCTAACAAAACCATAATTCTTATGTATGGTTCCTTTAAAATAATTCTGTCTCTATTTCTATTGAGTAAGTGTGCTTCAATCCGTAAATCTCCTTATAAAGTTTTATTTTCCTTATAAAACCTTGCTTTTAATTAATTAAATCAGAAAAAGGAATCATGAATCCATTAGGTTCAATTAATATTTAGTAGGTCGAAGACATGAAATTTTGTGCAATGATTTAACAATTAATCTGTCATTGCATGTTTTTAAAATAGCCTTTTCTAACCATTGCTAATTAGATTCCTGACCTCTTCCCCAATATTGACATTTACTCCAGTTGTAATACTCTATTTTGTGTGCAGAAAATGGGAAGAATCAATGATGCTGTTCCCTTTTTTGGAAAAGGATTCAACAAAATTTACCCCCTAATCATGGTTGTATACACTTCACTAATAGCATGCAATATTTTTGACCGGGTCATCAAGTATTGTGGGAATTTGAAAATATTCAAGTTCAATGATGATGCAGAAGATATGGATGGATTTGACCCATCTGGAGTAATAATTTTGCAGAGAGGTGAGTTCAAACCTTTTTAGTTACTATAACATTCTTCTTTTTGGGAAGTACCTCCATTACATCTAATGTATTACCTTTCTTTCTCCTCAGAACGTTCTCTACTCCAGCAAGGCCACAAAGTTGGTGAACTTGTTTTCCCTCTGGCAAGGAGTTTCAGTATAAGTATGGATGTTGAGTCAAGCAGCCAGGCCACGGTATGCATCTAAAACTACTGCATGATCATTTTTCTTGTTAATATCATATAATGTGTGCCAATATTAAAACTTGTTCAAATTCTTTGGCTTATATGTCTCACTCGATTTTCCATGGTCACTCATTTTTAGTAAAACTTTACATGACGTTCACCACTGAACCAAGAAAAACTAATTAGCATCTGAACAAAGATTTGTAGAAGAAGCCTCATAAGCGTTATCTCAAGTAGTCGTGTGCTACTAACTAGTAACTATCCCTCTATTTCTTCATCAGGATCTGGATGAGAGTGCCACTTCCAACACAGTGGAAGAGGAGAATGAAGGCAATGACATGAGCAGAAAATTTGGCAGCAGAAGATATGCAGCCTTGAGAACAAACCTCAATGAAGAAGTGTCTAGAAACGATTTGACCCAAGAAGGAGGTTCTTCCTCCTTGACAAGTGATGTTAATGATTCTCAGAATACAAGTTCAGCACCATCATCATCTGTATTAGCCTCAAGATGGGAATCAATGATGCTTGGATTTAAAAGTTTGAGATCTAACATTGACTCCAAGAGATTCCTCCCTATTACTAATGCTCAGGAGTCAACTCTAAACACAAAATCTTCATCTGAATCCCTTGATGAGATATTTGAGAGATTGAAACATCCTCCTTCTGAATATAGGGATTCTGGTGACTGAAATGATCATGAGTGGACTTCAGGGAATTGGCATTTGCAAGATAAAATGAATATCTCTTCTTATATAGGGAGAATTAATAAGCAAATTTTCTCCTCTGAAAGAAGTGTGCCTGGAGGATAGATTTATGCTGAACTTCATTGCAGATCTCTCCACATGGCATTTGTTGGTTCTGCAAAACAAGAACAGGTAGAATGTTGAGATAGCTTCAAGAAATGCTAATATGCTATAGGGATGATCCTAGCATATAATTGCAACTCTTTAAGCTTCCATTCTGCTTGTAAATTTTGTTTATTATTAAGAAGTAAGCTACTATTTGATGTACAACATTTTGTAAAACTAAAACAATGTCTTCTGACCAATATATGAATATGAAGAATTTCAAGTTTGACAAATGATGAGATATTAGTTGCTGAGTTTAATGAATTATGTGTGAACACCTTTTTACCCCTAAAGAAATGAATAAATAAATGTGTTAAGAAAAGAGATAAAAATAAAAAAAGATATATAGGATATTTGAATTATTATCTTATTGGGAAAAAGCATTATTGTTTAACGAAATGAACAGTTAATATAAAACTTAATCGTTTAGTTAGTTTGTTGTTTTGTTAAGTTTAAGTGATGTGTTCACCTGATATATTATGTGTGAATTCATGTGTGTATAGGATGAATTATTTTGAAAATTAAGATTGATGTGAAAAGTTATAAATCATCCTATTTAGTCCTTAAATTCGATGTTTATGATTATATTGTCCTAATTAGACAAAAAGTTTAAAAAGTATTTGAAATTGTACCAGATCGAGTACTTCCTTTAACTACGAAGGGGATTTCTCGACTCTTAAACAGTTGAGAATTTCTTTAATATCTTTGTTTGTCTTAATACTTCTCAAATAGGATGAGTGAGTGTTTATAAAGAAAGTTCGACACTTAAATCAATTCAAATTGAGAATTAATGATATAAGTAGAGTATATTTGTGAATAATATATACCTTAAAATTTACGTTATTTATAGGGAGTCAAGTGGACTTTTTACCTGATGGACCTTTAACGGAGGTTCATAGCATGTAACTTTGATCATGTGTTTGATTTATTTGGGTAATTACTTTATCTTAGGGTTGGTTTATACTGAGACCTATTCGGTACATGAGTCATTCATTACGATGAAGAGTCATTTTGAAAAAAAAAAATTATCTTTTTTTCTTTTATCTGAGATTAGCTAAGATGGTAAGTACATTCATATAAATAAGTCTCCAAGTTCAAGGATAAAGATAAGAGGTTGAACCAAAAATTAATTTTAGAAAGGTCACTTTAAACAAATAATTTTTTTAGGAAACAATAATATATATTTCCTTAATAAAATTTTAAAAGAACTTGTCCATCGAGGATGTTGGATAGGAGAAGAAAGATCTTATAAAAAGGAAATAAAAAATTGTCTATTGGTAAATAAGGGTGTTAAAATAAACTTATTTTAATAAACTGACTTAAGAAATAAAGTAAGTTAGGTCAAACAAATTATAACATAAATTAGATTATATCTATTTTAATTTGACTCGTTTAAGTTATAATTAAAATGAGGTTTAGGTCATACTAATATATAGGCTTATGAGTTAACTCATTTTATTCAATAATAATTATTTTTTAATAAAAATAAAAATAACATTATTTTATTTATATATATATATATATTAAATTAATTTAATAAAGGATTCAATTATTCTAAGAGTAAATATTAGAGTATGTATCTAATAACTCTTTATTCCAAAATCTAATAGGTTAGAATAATTATTATTTTAGATCAATAAATTATAAAAAAAAATAATGATGATAATAAAGAATAAGTTTATATTTTTTATTTTGAGATTAAATAGATATTCTCATAATTTATATACTAAATCATTAAATAAAAATTAATTTTATTAATATAATTTAAATTTTAAAAATATATTTTATATTTTTATTTAAATATTTTTTAATTTTTCAAGACAAAAATTAACCTATTAGCTTAACACAGAATTAGGACCAGCTAAAAATTATAATTCTTTTTAAAATATGAGTCACCAATTCTTTGACTTACAAAGGAGGGTGAACTAGGTCGTCCATTTTGATAATTTATCCGTGAGAGACTTGGAGAGATAAGTTATCCATGAATTGGATTTGGTTCATTTTGGTCAAACTCATTACCTAACCCAATAAAAAAAAATCTTGGTATGGGCTAGTTTAGGCTTTTGTACCTTTTTTTTTTATTCGACACAACTAATCTAAGACACCCTTGATCAGGTTAAATAAATTCGGTCACAATATTTTAAAAAATAACTTTTTATACAAAAATTTCAAGTCTAATCTTTTAGATATTTCATAATATTTTTTTAAATAGACTAAATTATTTATAAAATAAATAATTTAATAATCTAATATTTAAAAAATATATTTAGTAAATATAATAATTAAAAAATTAAACAATAAATTTATTATTATTAAAGTTAAAAATTATTTAATAATTTTGATCTAGTGAGTTAGGTTGAATCTCGTATTAAACATACAACATTTGTTAACTAAGTCATAGGAGATTGGATTAAGTTTCATTCAATCATAACAACAAAATCGCACCTAATTTACTTAGGTTCAATTGGTGGATTTATTTGTAAAACATTATGTAGTTTTCCTACGTTCTTAATTCATTATGGAAAACTACTCTACAGGATCTTTAGATTATTGATTTTCACAATATAACATACATCAATACATGAATCATAGTAAGAACACTAACCTTGATCCATGAGAATCTATTCTTTTTAATCTTTTCATTCTCCAATCTCCTTTTCCCAATCTATCTCTTTGTCTTTCTTTCTCTTCTCACGCTTTCTTGATGGTTTACCAGTGAAAAACCTTATGACCGAGAGACGAACCCTAATCCCTTTTATTAACCAACGTCCATCAAGTTGGTTACCAGTAAGTTAATATTTTATTTTATCTTTATTTTATTCTGACTTCACATAATAACCAATAGGTCCTCATATTTTATTAAATCACATTTGGGCCCATTATTATATTTCACATGAGTCACATAATGGAATGAATTAATTAAATTAATTCTAACATTCTCCCACTTGACTCATGTGATGTCATACGATTATGTGATTTAATACTTAAGTCATAATGCGCATTAAAGGACCTTACATAAATTGGTTCTATCATCATTCATAATTAAAGATACAGCTATAACAAGAGTCATGGCGGTTACATGTCATTCAATCGACAGGCTCCCTTCCATGTACCACTATATTATCTCTTTCTCCTTAATATGACTTTATAATGAGAAGTTCATAATGGGTTCAAACATAATATCATTTTAATAATAATAACATAATTTGTTTTCTTCATCATAATTTGCATGCATATAAATAAAGAAGAAAATACAAATTTCAGAAACTTATACATTAAAGATCTCAGAGTCTCACATAAGCATTAATAATAACATTAACATTCAACATTCACTAGTGAACATAATGCCCACATTCATTATATGGCCAGCAAATAATTTGGGCGATAATCCCTTTGTTAAAGGATCAACAATCATAAGATCAGTGCTAGTATGTTCTATTGACACTCTTCGTTTCTAAACTTCTTCTTTAACGACAAAGTATTTCAATTCCATATGCTTAGCACCTTTGGAATACTTGTCGTTCTTAGAAAAGAAGACTGCTGCGGAATTGTCACAATAAATTTTCAGCGGCTTGGCAATGCTGTCGACTACTCCAAGTCCTGAAATAAAATTCCGCAACCAATTAGCTTGAACTGTGGCCTCAAAGCATGCCACAAATTCAACTTCCATGGTGGATGCAGCAATGACAGACTGCTTTGCACTTTTCCATGAAATCGCTCCTCCGCCTAAAAGATACACATAACTAAATGTAGACTTTCGTGTATCCATACAACCAACAAAATCTGAATCTGTATATTCAATCACCTCAAGGTGATCAACTTTCCTATAAGTAAGCATGTCATTATTTGTTCCTTGTAAGTATCTTAAGACTTTCTTTGCAGCCTTCCAATGATCCAATCCAGGATTACTCTGGTATCTACCCAGCATACCAACTGCAAAGCTAATACCTGGCCTCGTACATGTTTGAGCATACATCAAACTCCCAACAACAGATGCATAAGGGATATTTTCCATTTGTTTCCATTCCAAGTCATTCTTTGGACATTTCATGAGACTAAACTTGTCTCCTTTCTGTATTGGAACGGGAGATGCTGAACACTTCTCCATTCTGAATCTCTCTAAAACTTTATTAATATAAGCTTTCTGAGACAAACCTAACAGTCCTTGTGATCTATCACGGAATATTTCTATTCCTATCACATAGTATGTCTCACTCATATCTTTCATTTCAAAGTTGTTAGAAAGAAACTTCTTAGTCTCACTTAATAGACCAAGATCATTAGTCGCAAGCAAGATATCATCAACATACAGAATCAGAAATATAAACTTGCTCCCACTGACCTTCAGATATATACACCGATCAACAGTGTTTTCCTTAAATCCAAAGGACATAATAGTATAATTGAACTTAAGATACCATTGTCGAGAAGCTTGTTTAAGTCCATATATTGATTTCTTAAGTTTACACACCATATGTTCCTTTCCTTCTTCAATAAACCCCACTGGTTGATTCATATAAACATCCTCCTCTAAATTTCCATTCAGAAAAGCAGTTTTAACATCCATTTGATGCAAGTCAAGATCATAATGAGCTACTAATGTCATGATAATTCTAAAGGAATCTTTCTTAGAAACAGGTGAAAATGTTTCCTTATAATCAATGTCGTCTTTCTGAGTAAAACCTTTGGCAACAAGTCGGGCCTTGTAACGTTCGATATTGCCATGAGAGTCACGCTTAGTCTTAAAGACCCATTTACACCCAACACTCTTACATCCTTCTGGCAATTCCACAAGATCCCATACACCATTATATGTCATTGATTTAAGCTCATCTTTCATAGCATCTAACCATTTATCAGAATTATCACCATTAATGGCATCTGAAAATGAAAGTGGTTCATTATCAATACTTAGGTCATTTTCTGACTCTTGTAGATAAACCACATAATCATTCGAAATAGTAGACTTTCTTTCTCTGTGAGATCTTCTTAATACTATTTCCTGTGGTTGTTCTATTATTGGATCATTGTTAATCGCAGGATCATTAATTTGTTGTTCTTCTTGATTGTCATGTGATTCTACAATATTTGGAACAACAACTCTTGAAGATGTACTAGTTATTGGAACTTGTACTCTAACTTCCTTAATCTCCACATTTCGTGAAGCTTCACTCCCACTGGCTTCACCATTTTCAATGAACCGAGCATTTCCAGTTTCAACAATTCTTGTACTATGGGTAGGACAGTAAAACATATACCCTTTTGATTTTTCTGGATAACCAATGAAATATCCACTGATTGTTCTTGCATCCAGTTTCTTTTCTTGCGGATTATAAATTCTTACTTCTGCCTGACAACCCTAAACATGTAGGTGTCTCATACTGGGTTTCCTACTTGTCCATAACTCAAAAGGAGTCTTTTGAACCGCTTTACTAGGAACCCCTGTTCCACAAATACATGGCAGTCTTCAAAGCATACATCCACAACGATACAGGTAAACATAAGTTACTTAACATACTCCTAACCATATCAAATCATAGAAGTACGCTAAAACAAACTGAAACAACCATTTCCAAACTTAAAAGAGTATCTAGCAACATCAAGCTTAGACAAAGAAACTAAATTTCTAATGATACTAGGTACATAAAAAGTATCCATAAGGTCTAAGTGAGATCCAGTATCAAGGATTAAACGATAAGTCCCGACAGCTTCCACTGGAACCTTGACTTTATTTCCCATGAAAACGAACTTCTCATTTGGGTTTATGGTTCGGGTTGAAAGGAATCCTTGCATTACATTAGAAACATGAGTCGTACATCCAGAATTAATCCACCAAGTATTATGGGGAACTTCAGTTAAATTTGATTCAAAACATACATAAGCACTGTGCTCACCTTTCTTTTCGAACCAAGCTTTGCGCTTTAAGCAATCCTTCTGAAAATGTCCAGACTTCCCGCAGAAATGACATTTATCATTTTTCTTATGAATGTTAGTAGAGGACTCGTTAATCTTTAATGATCTTTTACCCTTTCCATGTTTCTTAACAACTTTCTTTTTAGCTCCTTGATTTTTCACGTAATGAATAGAGTGGCTTCCTAGGTTCTTGAGTCTGGTCTCCTCCTGGACTAACATACTGTGCAATTCATGCACATTCCATTTGTCTTTCATGGTGTTATAATTCATCTGGAACGAACCATACTCAGACGGTAACAAATTCAAAATGAATTGCACAAGAAAATTTTCTTCCACTGCCATTCCAAGAGACTTGAGTCTTGCTGCGATATTTGTCATTTCGATTACGTGTTCATGCATACTATGAGAACCATCAAACTTCATGGTGGTCAACGTACTCATCAATGTCCCAGCGAGGGATTTGTCAGCAGTTTGAGAGCGCTCTTCCACAAATTTCATAAATTCTTTCACGTCCTTAGTTTTGGGAAGAGCAGACTTAATATTGCTTGCTACACTCATTCGCATAAACATAAGGCTAAGTTTGTTTGATCTTTCCCAAGCTCTATAATGAGTTTTCTCTTCATTACTACTGGCATCAGTGATAGCAGCCGGTTTTTTAACTTGGAAAGCCAAATCAATATCCAACACACCTAAGTGAAATTGGACTTGTTCACTCCAGTCAGGGAAATTTAACCCATTAAAGACTGGAACAGACGAAGATAGCGAATGCAGAGCTACAGGAATAGATATTGCAATTAACACATGCCTAACATTAATACTTTGAGTCATAAAATTAAACATAAATACAGATTCAACCATAAATTACCATTCTCTGCATACTAATGTTCTCCTTTGGGAGATCCATCAATACACAAACATAATTACGCTAATCATTTTATAACATTAATGATAATTAAAATATGCATCAACTAGAATCACCTAACACCTTTGGGTATATAAATAAAACTAGTGACGCACAGAAAATTATCTACCTTCATGCTCATTAATTATAATAACAATTAATCAACCTTTGGGTGATCCTGAAATGTCCTATAATAATAAACTTCAATTAACCCATAAATCAAATATTCATAATTTTAGCGTTCATACTATGGGTAATTGAAATAAAATCATTAATAATTTGAAATCAAAATAACCTTAAAATTTTGGCCACTTTGGTGACTAACAAAATTTATCATGCTTAATTTCAAATAAATAATATCTTTAATTGCTATTAACCATTCATAGCTTTTTTTATTATTATTAATTTTAATAAATATGTACATTATTCACATAATAAAATATTATGTGCCATAAATAAAATTGAAACTCATAATTTCAATTTTCATCCTAAGATTGATTTTGAATCCAAGACCTTTATTTGCATTTCACGTAAAAGTGAAATTGTCATTCATTCAAAACTTCAAAACTTTTATGAGTAATTTAAACACAGTGGAAACAATACAATTCAGTTTGCAAAACAAAATTCATTCATTTATCAATGTTTACATTATAGGTACATTAACAAAGTTTCACAGTACCTTGACAAAGCTTTCAGTACCCTTGACAAAGCTTTCAGTACCCTTGACAAAGCTTTCAGTACCCTTGACAAAGCTTTACAGTACTCTTAACAAAACTTTACAGTACTCTTAACAAAACTTTACAGTATGAGTATATTATACAACTCACCTTAACATAAAAAATAACTTTTTAATTATCATTCAGCCACATAAAAAAAAATATACGTACAAAATAATGTACACATAATATGAGGACAAAATAATATAGGGACAAAATGGTTTCAGCAGTCACCAGTCACCAATATGTACATACAAAATAATATTATAAATAATATAGTATAATATAATATATGAAACCTGTGTGTTTAACACGTGCTTTCTACGCGCAAAGTTTATCAACTTTACGGTTTATCATTCTTCCATCATAGTTATAACATTTCATCATAACATCTCATCATAATTATAACATCTCATCATAATTATAACATACAATGAAACTAATTTCATACATGATTCATCCTAACCCTATCATGTCATTTGCCTTTTCAATTAGAAAGGATTACAGGGTCATTCACGCATAGGGACTATAAAATTGGTTTCAATTTGAACTTGAAAACATAATTAGGGTTTATTCCTTTATTTAATTTTGAGAAAAATAAAATTGGGAATAAATTAGGGTTCATACTAATCTGATAGAGAAATCCCTAAATTCATAATTAGGGTTTATCTTAATTTGGAAAAAACATCATTTGAGAAATATTTTCATAAAAGGAAAATCATAAATCTAATAATCAGGCTCTGATACCACATGTAAAACATTATGTAGTTTTCCTACGTTCTTAATTCATTATGGAAAACTACTCTACAGGATCTTTAGATTATTGATTTTCACAATATAACATACATCAATACATGAATCATAGTAAGAACACTAACCTTGATCCATGAGAATCTATTCTTTTTAATCTTTTCATTCTCCAATCTCCTTTTCCCAATCTATCTCTTTGTCTTTCTTTCTCTTCTCACGCTTTCTTGATGGTTTACCGTGAAAAAACCTTATGACCAGAGACAGAACCCTAATCCCTTTTATTAACCAACGTCCATCAAGTTGGTTACCGTAAGTTAATATTTTATTTTATCTTTATTTTATTCTGACTTCACATAATAACCAATAGGTCCTCATATTTTATTAAATCACATTTGGGCCCATTATTATATTTCACATGAGTCACATAATGGAATGAATTAATTAAATTAATTCTAACATTATTATGTTGTGATAGTAGCGGTTGCATATGACACTTCATTTTTTGTTTTTTGCAAGTTGCCCACCCATTATTTACCATCAAACCAAGCTTATAACCCCTTATTGCCTTGACGTCATCCTAATCTCAATGGTACATTTTTATTCTATTTGTATGTATTGTGGTACTTTGAATGTCAATATTTGCTAATTTTTTTTAGATATCATAGTCGTTGAGATGTTAAAAAATAGGTTATGTGCATTGGTCGAGAATGTGAAACAATCAGGTATAGTGGAGTAGGTCTAGTCGGTACCCAACTTATTACCACCTCAAGGAGAAGCTAGGAAAATACATAGAGGAAGGAAAAGGAAAACTAAACACTATGATCACCCATCCTCTAAGAGGATGTAGACTAACAATTCCAGTTCGACGTCAAATTCCTATAGTACAAACTAGTTTTCAGGTACCAACTATTAGTTAGGATTGAAGGTAATGATAAATATATGGGTTGTTGAAAAAGATGTACATGTTGGCTTAATCAAATGCGATGTTACATGCCTTTATTGAATTGCAAACCCCATATCACTTGTACTTAGGAAACAAATGGGTTCAAATTTGTGAAAGGTCGGAAGCAATACAAAATTGCTTCGTGTGAAAGGCAAGTTGGAGATACCTCGAGTTCTTTGCAAGAAACATTGGAGACTAATTCATTGTTGAACATCAAGGTGATTGAGTTACATGGGCAAGTCTCTTATCTGAAAGTTAACAATGCCGATTGGTAAAACAAATATATAAAGTTGGAGGAGACTAAAAAGAAGATAAGAGCTGAGTTAGAGCAAAAACTGATCGAGGTGATACCAGCTAAAGAGGTGGAGTCGAGATTGAAGGAGAAGGTCAAGTCGAAGAGTTGGAGATTAAACAATATATGATTTACGAATACACTGAGGGATTTAATAAGACTATTCGGCAAATGCATCACTTAAATTGGCAAGGTGTCTCCTTGATTGACACAAAATTTTATATGGAATATGATGTCCATAAGGGTGCAATTATTCATATTGATGACTTGCCGGAGGATAAAGATCCTGAAAGACTAAAGACTCCCCTTGATGACCATAAGTAGTTTTTTAGATATGTTGTTGGTTTATAATAAATTCATGTTTTGTTGTATTGAATTTTGTTTGCCATTTTACTACTAAGTTGTAATGAATTTAACGAATGCAATGCATGTTTTTCTCTTCATTTTACTATAGACTAAGCGTGTTTTTTACTTAAAACAGTGCAAGATATTTTAGTCGTAAATGTCTTAGGAGAGATTGTTCTTAGAGAACAAAATGTCCTTAGTCCAGAGTTACTCGAGAGGGATTACTCATAATAATTAAATCTTCCTAGATCAAGAATTATGTGTTGTATAAAAGAGAGTGAGATAATGAGTTTTCATTGAATGGTGTATCATTAAAACCTCTTTAGTTAGAACTCTCCTTAGGAAAACAATGTTAGTGGTAGGAAATAGTACAATAAAATAAATTTTAAGTAAATATATGTCTCATGTTCTTGAGAGAGCCTTTCCCGAAAGCTTTTAAGTCTATAAGTGACGTGAACATAAAAGCCTAAGGTCATGGGAAGAAAGATGAAGATCTAATTGAAGAATTAATGACTAGAGGAAGGATTAGAAAGATCCAACAAGCTTTACAACAGAATATGACTCTTTTATGAGAGGTCCAACAATCAAAAGACTCAAGTCACTAAGGATGCTAAGCTAGTTATATGTGTAGTGGGATTGGAGAGTTAAAATAAAAATATTTTTTTTTGTGGAACTGGGATTTGAACCCAAGACCATTAGTTTAATATTTGATTAATTTTAATTTTTTTGGTTTTCTTTTCCTTTTATTATAAACAAAATCAAGCCCAAAAAATTCCTAAATTTTTGTATTTATGATTGTTGAATTAAGAAAAAAAGGTAACAAATAATTTTTGTCAAAGTAAGAATATTTTGTTAGAAAACTAATAATTATGATCCTGATTTTGATTCTAATGATCAAACATAAACATTATCTCATACTCATAAACATGTTATAGACTGAATACGAAAACGTACCTGAATTGGCCATAATGATGATGTCCCTTTAGGAGCACTATTGATCTTTTGGTCTTCCACTTGAAGAACACATTTATTTTCCCTTTGGATTTTCTCTCTTGATGGGGATAGAAAGAAAGGAACAGGAACTGAGACTTATGTTCTGTGTGTGTGCTCCCAGAAGGGGACCATGACCCTTTAAATAACTAGAATTAGGTTAATTACTTAAGTTTTAGTATTTATAATTTGGCCCCTCATCAAATTATAAATTACTTTATGGTCTCTACACAATTTTATTTTCATGACATATGCCTTTAGTCAAAATTTTAATTTAGTCAGATCACTTTATTATTTGACTTAATAAATAATGACCCTAACACATTTAGATTATGTATCATATATATACATGACCCAAAATTTACCAACATATTTCTCTGCTAGGATTTCTTCCTTGTATCTTTGATCTCATCAATAATTCACTAATTCTTGTGGTGATCATCCTTAGGCTTATCAAACTTTGTTTGTGGCACGTTCCTTTATTCAGATTTTCCCTATTTTATTCTCCATTTTTTATTTTCTATTCTTAATTGATTTTGAAACTATAAATATTTTTGCGTCAATTCTATTTAGAATCTTATATTTGGTATTCAGAGCAAGGTTTTGTTGCGTACACCTTTCACTGTTTTTGTCACTATTACTGTTCATTATATTGTTCACCCACTGTTCCGCACTGTTTCACATTGTTCACATACTGTTCATGGGACTATTTTGCACTGTTCACGGTACGGTACTGTTAAAAAAATAAGGAGAAAGAAATAAGCTTGAAAAAAAAAGAGTTATCAACCTTTATATCTAATGCACATCAATTGTTTGCTAAAATTCTTGTTTCAAGTGTCTTCTTTAAATTCGTTTGGTCTTGTTTATTTCTTGGTAGCAAAATTATTCTTTGCTACTTCTCTTTTGTGGATACGAATTTTTTTATTTACTTATTTATTTATTTTAGTATTGTCACTACAAATCTTAAGAGTGAATATCGATGATAGATTGTTTGATTCTCGTAAGAACCTTAAGTAGAGAATGAGTGGTAAAAGGCAGTGTGATCATTGATAAAAGAGCCGTATTGAGTGAAACATGAGCGTGGAGTGTATACACGTGAGAGAGTGTTGTAAGAATAAACTTATTGTTATTTTTAATTTGTTTGTTGAAGCATTGCAGGGGAAATACCAAGTAATGGAATTTCACAAATTCAAATGCAAGTCTTGACTTAACATTTGGAGAGACAAATAAAAAAACAAAGTGATAGACTCCATCACATATTAAATCAAATGGAGCAAGCACAACAAGACAATCATGAAAATAGAAGAGGGGATATGAGAAGAAGAGGGGAGAATGAGGGAGAACAAAGACAACCTAGAATTGATGCAATCAAGTTAAATATCTCAACATTCAAATGAAGAAGTGATCCTGAAGCTTATTTAGAGTGGGAGCTAACATGAAAACATGTGTTTGCTTGCAATAAGTACAATGAAGAGCAAAATATGAAATTGACAGTTCTTGAATTTTTAGATTATGCCTTAATTTGGTGAAACAAGTACCAAAGGGAGAGAGTTAGAAATGAAGAACCCATGGTGGAATCTTGGACAGAAATGAAAATTTATGAGAAAGAGATATGTTCCAACAAGCTATAATAGGGATTTGCTACTCAAACTTCAAAAAATGACTCAAGGGAATATAAGTGTGGAGGAGTATTTTAAGAAGATGGAGGTGGTCATGATTAGAACTAATATTAATAAAGAGAATGAAACAACCATGACTAGATTTTTTAATGGGTTAAACTATGATATTAGAGATGTTGTGGAGCTACAAAAGTATGTTGAAATGGAAGTTTTGTTGCATAAGGCTGTTCAAGTAGAACAACAACTCAAGAGGAAAGGAACTATGAGAAGGAGCTCTTACAATAATAATTCTAATTAAAGAGATAAGATTGTGAAAGATAAAGGAGTTTCTTCAAGTTTAGTCATGTCTTCACATGGAAAGTCACTTAACAAGTCAAATAATTCACCATAAAAAAGGAAGACAAATGAATTGAAATGTTTCAAATGTTTGGGAAAAAGACATTATGCTTCAGAATACCCAACAAAAAGGAATATGATTATGTTAGCAAATGGAGAAATAGATAGTGAATCATCAAGTGAAGAAGAGAAGGAAGAATCATATATGGAATTGGAAGCATTGGAGGGTGATTTATTGATGATTAGACGCCTTATGGAAAGTAGGATGCAAGCCTTGGACCAAATCTAAAGAGAGAATATTTTCCATATTAAATGTTTAATTCAATGGAAAATATGTTCACTCATAGTTTATGGAGGAAGTTGCACCAATATAGCTAGCTCAAGACTAGTTACCAAATTGAATTTGGAGACAACACCACACCCTAGGTCATACAAACTTCAATGGCTTAGTGAAGATGAAAATATGATAGTGAACAAGCAAGTGGAGGTGAACCTATCCATAGAACAATATAATGACAAGATCTTGTGTGATGTGGTTCCAATGGAAGCAACTCACATTCTTTTAGGAAGGTCGTAGCAATATGACACCAAAGCTATCCATGATGGCTTTACTAATAAAATCTCTTTTAAGTATTAAAAAAAGAAAGTGGTTCTCAGTGAAACACTTGAGAGAAAAAAGAGTGGAAAGAACAAAAGTGAAACACATGAGAGAAAAAAGAGTGAAATAAACAAGAGTGAGACACTTGAGAGCAAACACCTTTGTTTAGTAAGGGAAAGGGAGATACGAAGGGTACTTTGTGCAAGGCAACCCCTCTACTTATTATTTTATCAAAGTCATATTTTATATGCTAACCAATTTGGCAAGTTTGAATTACCTTATTGTATTGAGTCTCTTTTACAGGGTTACGAAGATATTTTTCCTGTGAGTATACCAGATGGTTTACCACCTATGAGAGGAATTGAGCATCAAATTGATCTCATTTCGGGAGCTTCTCTGCCCAATTGGCCCGCATATAGGAGCAATCCACAATAGACCAAGAAAATTGAAAGGAAAGTGACATAACTCATATGAAAAGGTTGGGTGAGAGATAACATCAGTTTGTGTGATGTACCTATCATTTTAATGCCTAATAAAGATGGCTCATGGAGGATGTGTTCTGATTGTAGAGCCATAAACAACATCACCATCAAGTATAGGTACCTAATTCCCAGGTTAGATAATCTTCTTGATGAGTTGTATGGTGCGTGCGTGTTTTCTAAAATTGATCTGAAAAGTGGCTATAATTAGATTAGGATTAAATAAGGTGATGAACATAAAACTGCATTTAAAACAAAATATGGTTTGTATGAGTGGTTGGTTATGCCATTTGGTTTGACTAATGCGCCTAATACTTTCATGAGATTAATGAATCATGTGTTTAAGAGAATTTATTGGCAAGTTTGTTATTGTGTACTTTGATAATATTCTTATTTATAGCACTAGTCTTGATTTGCATGTTGAACATTTACAATCAGTTTTGGATGTGCTTAGGAAAGAAATTGTATGCCAATATGAAGAAATTGTATGCCAATATGAAGAAATGCATCTTTTATACTGATCATGTGGTATTTCTTGGATTTGTTGTTAGTGCTAAGGGAGTACAAGTAGATGTGGAAAAGGTTAAGGTCATCCAAGAATGGCCAACACCTAAAGACAATGAGTGAGGTGAGGGGATTTCATGGCTTAACAAGTTTCTATAAGAGATTGTTAAAGATTTTAGTACCTTGGTTGCACCCCTAAATGAAGTTGTTAAAAAAATGTGAGTTTCACATGGGGTGAGAAACAAGAAGAACCATTTGTTACCCATAAACATAGGTTAACTAATGCACGCATTCTTACTATGACTAATTTTGAAAAATCTTTTAAAATGTAGTGTGATGCATCAAATGTGGGTATTAGAGTTGTTTTATTGCAGGAGGGACATTTTATTGCTTATTTTAGTGAAAAGTTAGGTGGAACTACCCTTAACTATTCAACCTACGATAAGGAATTGT